TAAACTCACCTTCTTCGATCATGCTCTTCATGATCTGGCCCCCAGCCTTTACAAGAGCCAATGACGAGTGCTGATACAGCTGGAATAGGCTGCGCCCGCATGTGTTGGCAATAATTTCCAGTAGATTGTCAAAGTGTTCGTTGGATGTCGTGTCGCTGTAGGGGTCGCATACCTGGATGGTGTGGAAATATGTTGTACATTTATAGCTCCTTGTGAGTGGTACATAACACTCTTATGAGGACAAACAAATAATATATCGATATATACGTATAGTTGGAACTACTAAAAAACATTAAATTAGCAAAACGGGCCAAATGTATCGATCACACGCTTGACACCCTTGTGCACCAGAAACCAAGCTGTTCTCTAACCCTGGTTTTCTTCGCTTACGTGACGAAGTCAACGAACGAGTTGGAGATTTTCACATACAATACCACTCGTTGCTCTACCCCTGGTACTTACCGCACACGTGATGAAGTCAGAAAATGGATAGAAAAAGAAACACGACTTAGTTCCCACCCTGGACACTTACAGCATACAGGAAAAAACAAAAGGCAACTACGAAATCTTCGTACATAATACAATTTGCTGCCGTAGTATTTGCCGCATGCTTGACGAAGTTGAGCGATAAATTGAACATTTGACGAAAATATACTCAGTACCCGTGAAGCCAATGGTAATGTAGAAAATTTTGCATCTAATTTCACTTTCTACTCTACCCCTGGTGCTCAGCACATACGTGACGGTCAAAGAACAAGTCAAGAAGTTAACAAAAATACGTACAGCTCCCCATTCCCAGTACTTACCGCATACGTGACGAAGTCGAAGAGTGAATTGAGAACCAACGCTCCCGTCCCAGCCCTAATGTGGTGATCCATGAGCTTCACCAGCACCTGAGTGAGTGGAGCAGCCACGATGTATGAGTACACAGGTGTGCAAAATCATATGCAGAAGTCGACGTGAACCAATATTCTTGTGATACTCCTGGCAATATCATCGCAAATACGGTTCGTCGTTCAATTTATACGCACTTATCCATATTGAGTGGCTTAAGCTGCCGGTTGCGCTCTTTTTTTGTGCTCAATATGCGTATAGGGCGTACATGTACATCATCTCCGTCTACTCGGATACTGTGTACACATGCCTAGCAAATGACTATACACTCAAGAACAGAACGGGCGGTCAATAAACATAGCATAATTCTATTAGGCGCGTTGACTTATATTACAGGATGACACAAGCAGTAGGAACCGTACAGGAGTACTGTTGTATACAGCAGCGCAAACTCGAAATAAAAAATGAATATACCAACAGTGGACGTAGCTACAATCGTACTCTACCAAATGGCAATGCCGCACTCCAGCGGTAAACCTGCATAACTGTACATGTATATCGAATACATAGATCAGTACAAAACACAAATATCTTGTGTCTCAGGCCTCACCTTCAGAAACGGCTTAGATGACAGCAGCGAACTTTTGTTGCTCTGCTCATACGACAGTTCGTAATCTTCGTGCATGGGCTGCATCAGCGCACTCATGCAGTCAATGGCTGCCTGGGCCACCCCAGTGTTGTTCAGCTTCAACGCGGCTATCACTCTCTTACCCAGCCTGATTTGATATGTATGGTATAAAAATGGAATAAAATCTTGAATATAAATATGTATGGTATGCAAGTGAGGTGAAACTCCAAATTTATGCCACGTGCTTATTACAGATGGCGCACAGATGGCGCAGAGGTGATACGGCTCTTATTCCACATGTACAAGTGATTTTATAATCAGTGTTCAGCTGGGGCTGGGTACGGCAGTTATCGATCAATGCACATAAATCTCGTAAATCACACAGGAATTTCGATTGAATGTAGTGTACATGCGTGACAATGAGCGTAGCAACGAGTGAGTGTATTGGCAGCTCTAACATCTACCTAGCATACAACGCATCGCCGCATTTAACAGAAACCTTAAACCCCTAAAACCCTAAAATGCAGGATCATCAATGTGGTGAACGCGTCAGCATATGTATATATGCACATACACTTGGTAAGATGTGGACATTTTTGTACATATTCGCTAGCTATGCGCAATACAAAAAAGCACAAGTAGAACGTCATCAGGCGATAAGCGTGACAAGGTCACAAGCATGTTCAGAAGACTGCCCAGCTATTATTGCACGAAGAGGGTGCGGACATACAATACCATGAGCGCATGCATGCAACAAAGGATAGTGAACAAGGAAAAGCGCTCAGGTTAGCGGAATCTGGAACTTATAAGCAAGTATTAACCCATTGGCCACACGCTGTGATAAAGTAGGGATATATACAAACCCCCTGCGGCTCTCATACGTACCTGTCGCGAAAGCCGGGCATGGTGGTGAAGGCCTCGAACCCAGTTTTGGAAGCCACCAAGCGGCGCAAGGCCAGGAACTGATCTGTGAGAGCCACCACCACGCTGTGCTTGACCATTTGCTCGCGAGTGGTGTGCTTCTGGTCGTGTGTTGCCTTGGTGTCAAGCGTTCTGTGGTGCAGAGCGATATAGGCACGTACAAGTGAACATGAAATGGAACAAATGTGCGAGAGGGTTCATGCGGAGGTGGTATGCTATACAATAGGTGCGAAATGAAACGTAGAAAACGGTTTGTCAGTGACGCGAGTTATTACCTTCCCTGTTTACATGGAAGACCTTTGATATATCTGTGTATACTAAACGCGATAACCCTGACTCGAGAAAATAACATCATCTTGGTCATGTTGTATGTGAAGTATCAAATACACGACTCACTAACCGATACATAACATGCAATTTAAACCCCTAGTCCCTAAATACGACACAGGCGAGTACGGGTGTACAACAGCGGACAAACCACTCAATAACAACGAGTGTCCATACCTTTCACCATCAATGTCGTACTTCAACAAAGCATCCAGGGCAGCCAATATGAGCTTCGACTTGTTCTCTGCAAACATTTTGTCTTCGGTTTTGGAGAAAGAGAGTCCTCTGTAGTCGATGTTTGTGTTAAAGTCTGCCACCACCTGTGTACGTGGGCGTAGAGCGCAAGGTTAGAGTCATACGTTCCGGTCATACGTTCCGAGCTCGACTCAAATGGTAAAAAAATGTGTTAAAAATTCAGCTACTTCCATGCATAAAAAATTGTCAAATTTTTGTATATACCGTGTGCTTATTCTAATATATTATAAAGCTGAAAAAAATATACAAGAAAAGATAATGTCTGAAAACAAGTCCACATATACTGGGCATAAGCTACACATGTATATATTTTAAGTGGATATCTCCACATACACGCACGCCAGATTTATATATAAAGGCGTACAAAAAGAAAGAAGGTAGAACACACCTATACAAATTAAAAAACTTCTAATTGTGATGAATCCACAGGACAATCACCCAAAATGTACCTGTGAGAATGTTTGTCCCTGAGAAGGTTCAAACTGTCCGATCTTCCTCAGGTAGACTGACTCTATCTCCTCATCTACCAGTACATCCAAGGGTCCTACATCGTAGAATAAAGATAAATTAAATATAT